CTTCGAATGTTAGTGTCTTATGTCTGTCAAACATTTCCACGAACTTTCTATTGGGTGAGTGGAGGAAGTAGATTACAGCCACAGGCCGTCTTGAAGTTGGATGTGTTTTAACTTCGCTTCCTGGTCATTAGATCACTCACCTATGCAGAGCCAGATGTACTGGAAGAACTCCATGAAGGAAGATGAACCCGAAAGTAGGTTCATCTCCCAATAATGATATATATATATATATATATATACATATATATATACGCACACATGCACTTTTCTTTAATCGCTTCCCCAAAAGGCAGCATATTTACACGACTTCCCCATACTTTTGCTCCACTGAGACTTCCCCGAGTGCGTTGTGGCAGCTAAACACTGGTATTGAGTGGTACGTTGCTGTTGCTCTGTTCCAACTGGCATGTAAGACGTAGACTAGAGGTAGAATATGGTACAGTGAAATTCTACGGTAACTAATCATGACAATTATTGCTGTTTGAATTCAGAAACCGGAGTAATGAGAAGTGGAGACTAGCTGCCCTATGCAGTATAAGGACAGAAAGCAACGATGAAGTTATGAATTCTGAGCCGATTTGGCTAAGCTTTAGATAAGCTTGAAAGCCGTCGGCAGATTGAGCCCTCAAACCCGTGACCTTCAACAGTGTCACCGGACTGTGGAAGTAGAGTTCCCCGTTCTATCTCCTGTGAGTATTGAGGCTCAGTTTCTTATCTGGGAGGAGGTAAAATCGGTTTAACGGGTACTGGACTGACAATGTGGTTTCAGAGCCAGGTAATGCGATAGAAATCCACTGTGAGAATTACTTGCTTTGGAATTTCTTGGGCAGTAGCTCCCCTTGTGAGTCTCAGGGGTGTCGGGCAAAGAATACCGATTCCCTTGGACCCAGGGCAGGCAGGTTTATAATTCCAGCCGGTCTGTGGTCTTTCGAACTCAGGCGTTTCCACAGAATTTAACCCCGAATTCGTTAGTTTGCCTCTTCAAAATTTCAAGATTCCCGACTCGAGGAATCGCGGTATCCGATCCAGACCGATGAGCTCTCTACAATCTAGCATGGTACGACTGACAACAGTTGAGTCGATCACATGCTCAACATGTCCGCCACATGACATTCCCAACTGTTGTTTGAAAGCGCTCCGTCTGGTTATTCCGGAATTCCTACGGTCAGCTCATGTCAGTATTACGGACAAACGGAATGGATAGTATCATTTCAGTAAGAATTCACAAGCAACTTCAGAAAACCAGATGATGGTGAGCCTATCAGAACCCCGTTCGTTTGATTAACGAGGATGAGGAGTTCGGACTTGTGTATCATCCTGGTTCGTCTTGCAAGCAGGATCCATTCAAATCACCCTGGTTACGTCCGGGTGTCCAGACTGTAACACTCCCGAAACGTCGGAAAAAAAGCATCTTCCAGTGAGAAAAATCGGCAATTAAATTGAACTGATGCCTAATGCCTTTTCCGTAATTTCCTCCACTATCAGTAGATGAAAAGCATAGTGTTAATCGTTCTTTTCACGAGAGAAATAACAGCTAGCCTTGATGAAATGCACTCATTAATTTGGTGGTAACGGAAGATTCAGCTGGCAGTCTCCTCGATTGAGTGTGCAGCACAAAGACAGTCTGGTATTGGAAGTACCTTGATGAAACATACTACTCATTGGATTGTTGAAAACCCTTCGACTGCAGCTGAAGGACTATCCGGTGGGATCCGAGAATGAGAGAAATCTTCGATGTCACCTGTATACTCCAGACCAACAAGGTTCGCACCAGCAACAATTTGAAAACCAGAATTTTGAAGACCTCCCAGCGTTCGTCTCATTATTTCATCAAAGACGAAGTTGGATGAGAATGGAGACAGTGGACATCCTTTCCGGACACCATTTCTTTTAGCGAAGCTTTTGGAGAGCTCACCATACACACCCCGATGTATGTGGATATAGGGACCGAATGCTGTTCACAAACTTATCTGGCATACTCTGTTGGGCAAGTGTAGTTAACAGCACTGACCGATCGACGGGTATCGAACACACCCTTGACGTCAAGGAACACGCATGTAGACTCACACTCACAGAGTCAGACGAAAGGTTGAATGGGGAATTCGCTACAAGTGGAAACCGGAATAAATTTCTAATGAGGGCCCTGTGACAGTTTCGATAGCAGTTTTTGTTGGGCAAGAGGAGTGAATCAGCTAATCCGAATGGTAAAACAGTAATGGCGTGTAAAACCGGCTACAACTTTCGCCCTTCTGCACTGCGTACTCGACAACAGAATTACTTATTGTTTTACCGCCCTTCTGACTGATTTATCAGTGCTCACATTCACCCTTCCTCTTTCACACACGTCACTGTTGCTTGTGCTGCGTTTGCGGTTAAGGACTGATCCGACGCACTGATCAGCTCTAGTTATTGATTCAATGTCCGTCCAGCCACCGATATTCGCCACTTTCGTATGGTTTTCAGTTTCATGCGAGTTTGCTGGCTCATACTCAAGTGTTGAGTTCTGCCTGCGGGAAATGACAGTTGTATGACAACCCCGTATGGTGAAACCAAAAGTAGCTTAATGTGGCTCAAACTTGCTAAACTACTGTTTCAGAACATATTGATTTCATATGAGACACAATAAAACCAACCACGCACAAAGGAGGCTATTCTAAGAACTGCGTATTGTGGCAGGCATGTTGTATGATAGGGAAACCGTAATGTTTCCATTGCTGGGAATCTGATGACAAGCAGGTCTAGATCTAATGTACTCGTTCTACACACTAAATCATACTGCTTCCTTGAAAACGAGTAGTTTTTCACTGCGTATTGTGGCAGGCATGTTGTATGATAGGGAAACCGTAATGTTTCCATTGCTGGGAATCTGATGACAAGCAGGTCTAGATCTAATGTACTCGTTCTACACACTAAATCATACTGCTTCCTTGAAAACGAGTTAGTTTTTCACTATATATCCGGGGGGGAGGGGGAGTGCTTTACTTGCGTTTCGCATTCCCAGAGACGCTCCCAATTATAAATTCAGGTTACGGTTTTCACGTAAACTTGAAACCGGTTACCTATTGGTTGTTGCAGCTTTCTTTTGCCACATTTAGTGATTTTATAATGAGAGACAGCTGAGATGTTGAGAATGGCGTTTCACCTGGTTTATATATGTGTTATTATGCTATGCTATGATATTAAATCTTCATTAGCGCGTATGAAACGACTGGCACTAGACTAAACTAAAATATCTGAAGTGCTCAGTTGATAAGCTGCACGCTCACTTGTGCTAGAACTGAGTGTGATCTTTGTCTCTATCTGCTGGGGGTTGCCATTTATTACGGTGACAAACCTCCAGGTGAAACAAAATTGGCAGGTGATGAACTTGTGAAGGATAGTCGACACTGACATATTTGAACACTGGGACAACAGATTCAGTTTCGGAGTCCAAAACTCGCATTTTTACACTGTCATCATTGTTGACAAGGTGACGAAATTTTGGAGTCTTTATTGAAGATTTCGTTCTGTAAGTTAAAAGGTCAAGAAACTCTATACAACTCCAGGATGTTTCGAAACTATGATCCCTCGGTCTGTTGTTTGGAGACAAACAAGCAGTGCGATTAGTCCTAATCCATACAGGATATGATGCCATGTGGCATCATCCATATCACGTGGTCACGTGTTGACTTGCACTATCAGTAGCTCGAACATTAATCCTATACTTTATAAAGTTGAGTTGAAACGATACTTGTCGTTCATAGGCCTCTTTGTGCGCCACCTGAATATTTTGATGTCCTTTCACCTGTTAGATTTTGCTACAGCTCTCAGATTTCACTGTTTGCACCACTCCTCAGCAAACGACCTATCCAGTTCATTTATTATTACTTGTGTTTATGATGAAAATCACTGGCTGTCCTAGAAGTTTGTCCTGGTGGTGCCCCAAAGTTGTCCATCAACGGCAAAGTCGCGCAAATATAAGGAAACATTTTAAAATTTGTGTAAGTGTACATCATTAAGACAAATTATATAACAGAAATAGTTGCCTCTAGAAAACGTGCGCTGTTTCCTAGACCGTGTGACGTAAGCCGTCGACTGATCAGCTGAACAAGTTAGAAAATCCTGGAGATCAATGCCACTGACCTTGTAGCACGTTCTGAGCACGTGCCAGTGGAATGGTCATGACAAGAAACTGTTGGAAAAACATCTGAATGTTTAAATATCTTAGATTTTGGGGTGGAGTTGATATTCAACTTCTACGACCGCGGATCCGCGAATTATGCCGATTGATAAAACCGAACCGACAGGTTGCTGGCTGAATAATATGAATCATGGCCCATATAAATTTCGAGTTATCAAGATTATTGTAAATTCAAATGATCACCCCTTGCCTCACTATAGAAAAATTCCCAAGCTATTCATGAGGTGCTTCGTAAGTTTATGTTCTACTTATGAGCGGATATACATGAAAATTAGGGCTGAGTTTACTTAACGGAACATACCACCCATAGGATTGCTGGAGACTGTGACAACCGCCTATGTGCTGAACATTCAGCTAAGGTTTGACTGTGATTCGCTTGAGCCCCTCGTTAACACCAAGTAAATTGCAAATGAGTGCATTTCACCGGTGACTTATCTCAAGCGTGGCTGAAGAGTATGACAGGATGTTTGACAATGTTGTATGCACCGTTAGTCTTTCCAGTGATTGGTGCTGACATTTACGTATCAAGCAGTCATGTTGGTTTTTACCTCATCAAGTCTCAGCACCCATGTCCGTAGGTCTTAAGTGCGAGTATCAGGCTTGATGCTCGTCTGATATTCCAGCTAAGAGTAAATGTTACGCACAGGTGAAGATTTTAGACCTAGATAATTGGAAGGGATGCCTTTAGTAACAAATAAAGGTATACTGGACTCGACAAACCCAGCTGAGTCCTTCGTTTATGATTGTCCATGGATCATTGGCGGAGAGGCGGTAATAAGACTGTCTCACGTATCATCATCATCGACAGCATGACATCAGTGTTCAACACCGATGCTTCACTGCCGTACAACCATGACTTATTTCAAAGCCTTATCGTAAAGAAAAGAATAAAGGTGGATGGGGGAGGGACTTAGTG